CTGCCAACAAGGCTCCTGCAAACAACCTGCATGTTTGAGCCCATTCCTGGATGTACCTGCCTGCAATAGATGCCATTGACAACCATTAGCAAAGGAATAACTTGGAACCATCAGCAACACGTTCAGCCCACCACAAGCTGAACAAGAGACAGACAAACAGGGGAGGGAGGGAGAGACTTGAACAATCCATCAATGCTGCTTTATTAAAATCTTTATTCACACAATGTTGCTTTACGTGGGATCTGACCCTGGGGGGATACAAGTAGAAAGTCATGATTGGGTTCTGTTTGCTTATTAGCAACCTCCATTTGTGCAGCAGCTCCCAGGGGCATCCTCTGACAGCTCCAAGGGGTGTCTGTTTCCAGCATCTTGCTCCAGCTGCCACAGCAAATAAATTACCTTCTTAATAAATTAGTATTTTTCAGTTGAAGTTTGTTTGGCAAGACACGCTGCAGTTCATCAGACTCGAGTGTCTCCTCCGCCCGACGGCTGACTGGGAGGGAGGAGGTGAATAGCAGTTGGCTGCTGATGTTCTCTTTAATCAGCTCTTGATTTCTGTGCTGCCAGTGCTCTGGTATCACTAACATCCACAGCACAAGCACTGGGTAACCTCTGGAGTCAGTGGATGACAAGGTGCACAGCGAGCAGCAATCTGGAGGTGCCAGGAAACCCTCCCTGGCAGAGCACAGCACCTCCTCAGGAATGGTGCTGGCACCTGGGTGCTGCTCATTTCCTCTGCAATGCTTACAACTGAAAACTTCTCCGGGTTCTGTAATCAAGTAAAACACTAATCACTGCCAAAAGGGCAGAAATTACCACAAGGCCAAAATCAGAGCTCCCTGATTTTGGCTAAGAGAGGAATTTATTCTCCTTTCCTGTTGCAGAACACCAACTTCCAGCAGTGTTTACAGCAACCAGAAGCATCAATATCACAAATAAAAAATAACAAACCCAAGAAACAACCATTTCTTGCCTCCTCCTACGAACGATGCCAGACTCCATGCCCTTTGTTCACAAGTAAACCAAAATAAACCAATACCCTGCTTTAAATCTTTGACATTCAGACTGGGGAGAGACTTACCCCAGCTTCCATCTGACAGCAAGAGCTTCAGCTTAGAGCAAAGTCCTCGACACTAATTTCAAGACAGAAAACACCTTTTCTTCTATCCATTATTAAATCAAATGTAAATACCAAGAGTGATCACAGAGAAATCAAACCATCAAATTTTGGTAGATCCTTCCCAAAATATTAAGTGCTTATGATTAAGCTCAAAGAGAAGAACAGGCTTTTAGAAATGTCACAAGCCACCATCATGTGCTTCACATCTCCCCTTGGATAAATCATCTGGAATTTCCTGGGAAACAGCTTATGCCAGAGAGGCTCAGTATGCTCTGCTCTAGAGCAGCAGCACTCACTAAGCACTGCTGCCCCAAAACATCTCACTCAGCCACTGATACCTGATGTCCAGCCAAGTGCTGAGGGCTCAGCACCAGCTCCTGCCCCACAGGCTCCTGCCAGGCACCACCCACAGCTTCCAAAGCATGTTCTGTTACCAAGTACAGCCATAGAGGCACGAGCTTCACCCCAGCGTCCCAAAACCCACCCGTGCGTTCCTGCCCTGACCAGCAGCACCAGTAAACAACTCCAGATCCCATCCCATCACCTCATCCCTCTGGGGCAGGTCTGTGATGTGGCCAAGTCCAGGAGAGAGACAGAACAACATAAAAGTCAATCTCAGGTAAACAGTCACATTCTACTTTGAAGATGCTCTGCTCATGCAATGACAAAGACTTGAAGAAATAAACCTGCATTTTCCAGAGGAACTCTCTCCCCAACACCTCTTGGATCAGGTGCAAGACCAGCAAAGAGCTCTTTACCTGCCCCACACTGCAGAGCTAGAAAGATCCTGACAGACAAACCAAGGAAAAGAGCTTAACCTGACAGTTTGCTGCTCTTGCTCACCAGTCCAGTAACACATGATCACTCTGGAAAGGATCTGGCTAAGGACTGTGCTGGCTGAACTGAACACCAACACAGAGCTGCTCCCTTTGGAAACAGTGGTGGAGCTGCTTCCCTTTTGGAGACAGAGTCAGACCTATCCCAAGTGTGATAAGTGTGATGGCCACAAGCTCATTGGCAGCACAGGCTGAAGTGCTGAAGGACAACAGGACTAGCACAGGATGAGTGCAACAAACCTGCCCTGACAAGCCAACTCACATCAACTCTTCCCTATCTACAGCAAAACCTCCAGCAAGGCCCCCAGGATGGTCACCTCAGGCAGAACATGGCACTGGGGATTGCAGGAAGCAGCTGGGGAAGGCAGAAAACCTACTGGAAGTGCTCACAGCTTCCAAGCTCAGCCAGAGCCAGTAAACAGTGGGACTGACAAACTGGTGTTCCACAAAACAGCAGCGCTGAGCTGTGGGTCCATGGAGCAGCAGGAAACTGTCTCAGGTGAGATGAGCAAGAAAGATCATAGCTCAGGGTTCTCCTCACTCTTCAGGTTACTGGGGGAGTCCAGCAAACACCTTTAGCTCAGCCCAACATGCCCAGAGGCCCCACAGGGCTGACAGTATGACCTTGCTACATGGAACTTGCTTCCCAGGAGAGGTTCTGTCCTCCTCCTCGGCTACAACAGAATGAAATAATGGACACAGGACTGCAGGGATATGTCAGAGTCCTTAAAAAACAGTGACAGGATGTGTGAAAACTCAGTATAACCCATTAATTATCAAGTGCTGTATAACCACCCTGTCCTCTCCTAAATCTCCAACCCTGTGGATAAATCTTTGACAGGACTTCAGCCAAAACACTGAAGCATTATCAGATATGAGGCAAACCCCTTTTCCAGCCTTTTATGAAGGAAAAGCCAAGGGAGCAGCAGAGGTGCCCTCTCCCACCCCTCATGGCATTCAGAAGAACATCCCACCCCGAGGGGTGGCACAACTCTTCAGCCCAACAATTATTGTGTTCACCCCTTGCTCGTTCTCTAGAGAAGCAGTAAAATGCCCAACCAGCTCTCGGCTGATTGTGTACAACCCTGAATCCCACTCGCCAGAGGGGGGAAGAGAAGGGGAGAGGACTGTCCTGTTCATCTCCATTTGTCCCCTCTAGATTCAGTCCACAAATTAGTGTCTGTATTCCACACACTTCACCAACACCAAGAGCCACGTTTATCCCGTGCCGCGTCCACCGCCGGCAATGGACACACCACAACAGCCACGATGCCACTCCAGGTGCTGAGCCATCCCAGGCCACAGCTTCCCACCTCTCACTGCTGCCAGCCAAAGGAGAAAGCCAGTGTCACCTCCATTCCTCTGGCTCAGGAGCTCTCCTGTTCGTGTCAGTCCATCTTGGCCACAGCCCTTCTGAACTGATTGTGCTGTTTTTCTATCGCTTGTTTATTTGTTTGTTCTTAAAAATAAAAAGGAGTTCCATCTGTGTTCCACTACAATTACAAGTGAGACAGAGTCATCCTGTCTTCCACCAGCACAACATCTGGCCCAAACTGGTCCGTGCACTGCTTCACTGTAGCCAGAATGCTGAGGAGCCTCTGGTCCAGGGCGTCCAGGTGGGGGTCGGAGAGCACAGGGGAGATGGGGTCGTGCGACATCGCAGTCTTTAAGGCAGACTTCAGCACTCCATTCTTCAGGTAATTCAGCCTGTTCCACGTAGAAACTCGGATGCTGCAAAGGAAAAACACACAGAGCATCATCACCCCACTGCCCAGCTGTGGTGCTGTGGGGAATACCACAGTGGGGATGAGAGGGGAGCTCCAGGGTAACTGCATCACACGCAGCAGCTAAACTGAAGGATCAATCCCATCTGATGTAATCCTGAAGTTATACAGGAACACTTCCAGTCTTCAGTCCTGAGGGCTCTCAGATACAGTTGGAAAAGGAAAGAGCAGGAAGGAAAATCACCAGTCTGGCTGTTAATTCAGCCACAAAACTCGTGTCACCTCAGGAAGAGCATCACTGACCAACAATGGATCCCAAAGGGCAAAGGGCACTTGACTGAACTCCCAAGAAAGTGAACACAGCAGTGATCCTTCCTCTTCAGTGGCCACTGAACTTGTGTCAGCTCATTCCAAGTGTTGAGTTCTGTGAAGTCTCTTGGGATTCTCCACCACATCTTTATGTTTTAGCACCACTGGTCTAACCTCTTGGTTTTGATGCCTCTAGTCAAACCAGCAATGTAAGCAAGTGTTGTACAAACCTACAGTTTAAACAGTTACACAGGAATTCTTACCTGGCATTTGCCTGGTGCCAGAAGGGAAGGATATCTGAAAACCAATGCACTTACATAAGAGATAAATTTCTCTTCTGGTTGCATTTGGGAGAATCTAGATGACAAAGATTCCTAAAAATCCTCAATAAAGCAAGAAATTAAACATACACTTCAAATTCATGTAGGAAAACCAAAGAATCTGGATGAAACTCATGTTACAGGAGTTTAAAAGAACTTGCATAACACAGTGCAGGTGTGCTGCAGTGTACATAGAGCCTTGCTTAGTGCAAGTGGGATCAGAGCTCAGGCTTTCTGCAAAGTTCCCAGGTTTCAGAGGCCCTGAGGAATTTGGGAGACAGAATCTTTCAAGGACAAGCTCAAGGAACTCTCAACTCAATGCTAAATTTGGAAGGCTAAAAGGAGTTAATGTTATCTAAAAGTATAAGAGTCAGGAAATGGATACTACAGTGTTTTTCCTCCTGGCAATTTTCATAGAATCCCAGAGCAGTTTGGATTAGAAGGGAACTTAGAGCCCACTCAGTCTGACCCCTGCCATGGACAGTGACACTTTCCACCAGCCCAGGTTGCTCCAAGCCCCATCCAACCTGTCCTGGAACACTTCTAGGGATGGAGCAGCCACAGCTTCTCTGGGCAATCTGTGCCAGTGCCTCAGCACCTCACAGGGAAGAATTTCTCCCCAAAATCCCATCTAATCCTGCCCTCTGGCCGTGTGAAGCCATTCCCTCTTGTCCTGTCACTCCAGGCCCTTGTCCAAAGTCCCTCTCCAGCTCTCTTGGAGTCCCTTCAGGCCCCTAGAAGTTTCTCTAAGGTCTCCCTGGGGTTTTCTCTTCTCGAGGCTGAACATCCCCAGCAATCCCAGCCTGTTCCCAGAGGAGAGGTGCTCCAGACCTCGGAGCATCTCTTTGCTAATGAGCAGCAGCAATGGCCTGGCAAGAGATTGGACACAGGGAACAGAAATCAACAAGTCACAGCCTCTGAAAATAAACCCAACCAAACCACAGCTCACAAGGCCAAAGCAGGGCTGCAATCTTGGGAAATGGTTAAGCTACCAGAAATGTTGAGTCCTTCGCTTCTGTCAGGGAGATCTCAAACTGGGATGTGAACTTCCACTTGTCAGGAGCT